ATATATGTTGGCCGTCAAGAGATTTAAACACTTCGAGACAAGTTCAAAGGCTATATTAACCTGCGATCATCCCTCGGTTATTTTTACAGAAATTTATCGAGCTCAAAGGTTTTCGTTAATATTGCACTATCAAATTCCGCTTTGGCTTTTGCGTTAGCGTGCTTTACAATTTCTTATGAAACCCATTTTTTAAATTAAAATATTATTTTCTTTCTTTTAAATTGCGACACAATTTGCAAAACGATCTTTGGCGATCTTTAGAAAAAATTTCGGAACATTTGACTTTGTGCTTTTTTTGTCGGCTGTATGCTGCCATAAAGTTTTATGAAGTTTCTACAGCCATTTCACACTTTCTTTCATTTCGCTTTATAAGCTTTTATTATTTTTCTATGATTCCTGCTTTCTCAGTTTTGCGACCTCGCTCGCTAGCTGCATATTCAGCTCTTGCAAACCAGATTTCTTCTTATGCGCTTCATGTTTTTAGCCCTGCTTTGGCATATACATACATTTTTTATCAATTTTTTGTATATTTTTCTTTGTGTTTAGTTCTTCTGTGTTATTTAATTGATATTGTGGAACTTTAAGGCTTGTAATCTCAACGTTTTTTGGAACTTGTTTTTGTTTTCTTTTTTATTATTACAAACTGTGGAAAAAATATTTCCCAATTTTTTCCCGTTATTCTCTACTACAGCTCTAATATACTTACTCGTCTGGCTACAAATTCGCGCTTGCTTATATATTGTATGATTTTAACTACTTGCTTCACATTATTTTCAAACTATTTGTATTTGGTAATAAATTTTAAATAATTATTATTTATTTACTTTTTTATTTAACTTTTAACACAACTAATATTTAAATTTTTTTAGGAGATGTGTATAAGAGACAGCATTTACACTGTATTGGAATTAATATTTTTTTATTATTTTTATTTTTATGTTTTGTTTTTTACTTAAATATTAATTAAATTCGAATTTTTGTGTTAGATTTTCAATTATTCTTCGCTTTCTTGTTGCTTAAAAGTTAAAATGCTAAAAAGTTCCTTTCCTCACTGCGCCAGCATAGTTCCTAATACTATCCAATGAACTACTATTCACCATACTACACTCCGTATGCGGCGCCACTTTGCTTTRTTAAACGAAAATCACTACTATGTCTCACTTTAAACTCGACCCTCATTATATCGCTCTACATAGCTGTTTTATTTATATGTTGCAAAAGTTCAACAACTTCAACAAATTTAATTCATTTCTTTATATATTTATTTGTTTATTTCTTTGTTTTGTTATAATTTCTAAAATTTTTGCGCGGTTTCAGACCGTCCTTGTCCACCCTAACACTTATGTATGTGTTTTTTGTAGTAGGTAGCTGTATATAAGTATTTATGTAAGTTTGCTCAAACAATTTTCAAATCGGTTTGCTTTTCGTGTGTATGTATGTATGTATCAAAAAGCATTTAATTATGTCTGCAGATTTCAACTTTGTATGTATGTATCCATTTATGCATAAATAATACTGCAGGGCTAACATACGAAGAGATGCTACTGAACGAGAGCGTTCTGCTTGAAGTTTGCTGCTGTCAGAAAAAATGTGAGAAAATGATCTTTTGCTGTCAGCGAAA